CCAGGGAGGGTGTGGAGTCTCCTTCTCTGGAGACATTCAAGACCTGCCTGGACACCATCCAGTGTGATCTCATTTATGTTCCTGCTCTGGCAGGGGGATTGGACTGGATGATCTTTCGAGGTCCCTTCCAATCCCCAACATTCTGTGATTCTGTGATTCAGTCCAACCCCTCTGCCATGGGTGGGGATATCTTCCCTATCCCCTCTCCTTTCTTCAGGCAACTACAACGCATCCAAAATTGATCAAGTTCCATATGAGTGTAGCAGATACAAAGACGCCTCTGACATTACACACCACTCACTGTGCTTACTTTCTACCAGAGCATATGCATCAGATCTTTGTACATTTATTAAATGTATTTGTGGCACAAACACTAGTGGACAATGGCTTTAGAGTATCCTGCAGCGGTAAAGAAGCTTCAAACTGCAAAACGTTTGAAAATAGAGTATGCCAACAGAAATATATCCTTCAAACTCATCTTACTATGGAAGTAATTTCACTTCTCTGTTGATGTCATTAATACATGCTCCAAACTATTTTACTAAGCTATTTTTATTAGAGTGCCATTATTTTAAGTATCTTGGGTGCCAATAAATACTACATAAGGTTCTCTGATTTGGAGAACAGGATGGAGCAAGGAAAGCCTCGAACATTATTTTTCTGGAAGGACCTAAAATAGTGCATCAAGTTACCCACCAATAGTTCAGGCACCTTCAGAACAACAGATGAATTACAAAATGAACTGCTTCCCCAGATATTAAAGCTTGCCAAGGATCTGAAATCAGCACCGCTCTCTGCTTTGAGGACAACAGCTTACACACTCCTTAACCAGTGGAATTAAGCTTCAGTCAGTTCAGCCTCAGATTAAGATGCACTTTTATTCAGAGAAGAAGGGAATAAGTAACAGTGCCTTTCCAGGTATAGTTGGTAATAATCTCTGCAGATGGAGAAGTAGAGCTACGAATGGCTTCTTGAATGCAAAGTATTAAGCTCCCAGGCTTATGTTTCACGCAATGGTAAAGTCCCCAGGGATCTCCTCTCTCATCTGCAGCGGACAGCTACACACTATTTCTACAACACAGGGAAAGAAAGAAAAGCACTAGCAGTTACCTCGCATAGCCTTTCACCTCAAACAACACTCTTCTATGGTTTTTGTTGTTTTTTTCCTAAACACATAGCCCTGACAACTCAGATGTAATGGCTTAAAAACAATGCATCAAATAATTAATCAAGTTTTTTTCTATCTTATTAATTCTCCTACAGTTGAAATTAAAAGGCCTGGGTTTGGAGACAGGGTGGGTGGCAGTCAGATACGATGACCAGCACCATGGAGGATATAATGGATTTAAGGACTGCTAAAGCACTCTGGGAAGATCTTAAATCAGGGGAAAAAGCCATGATAAGAACTTAAGGAGAGCTAGATTTTTGTTCACAGCATCTATTTCAAAGTGTACTTACTGCTGGAAATACGATCATTTGGTATTTGCTACAAATTTACCTCCTCCCACTTACAATGATTTTGATGAGAAATTTAAACAAGTAAACTCTGGGGAGCTAATTAACAGTAGACTGTTCTTCTCAACCAGCAGGAAGGTAAAATAATGGAAAACCTCAACTTTTTCCCAGGGATTTTGGCATTTTGTTTTCATAGACTCATAGAATGGTTTGGGTTGGGAGAAACCTTAAAGATCATCTAGTTCCAACCCCCCTGCCAGCAGCAGGGACACCTTCCACTAGACCAGGTTGCTCAAAGCCTCATCCAACCTGGCCTTCAACACTTCCAGGGAGGGGGCATCCACAACTTCCTTGGACAACCTGTTCCAGTGTCTGACCACCCTCACAGTGAAGAACTTCTTCCTAATATCTCAGCTAAACCTCCCCTCTTTCAGCTTAAACCCATTTCCCCTTGTTTTGTCATTAACTGCCCTTATGAAAAGTCCCTCCCCAGCCTTCCTGGAGCCCCTTCAGGTACTGGGAGGCCACTAGAAGGTCTCCCTGGAGCCTTCTCTTCTCCAGGCTGAACAGCTCCAACTCTCTCAGCCTGTCCTCACAGCAGAGCTGCTCCAGCCCTCGCATCATCCTCGTGGCCTCCTCTGGACTTGTTCTAGAACAAGTTTTGCTTCCCTTAAGCCTGTTTTGATTTACCTTTATTTCTTCTGCCTGAAGTCACAGAATATGTAAGTGTCACTCATGAAGTTGAGGCACTTCACAGCCTCAAGTGCATTTCCTTTTTCTTTCTCACCTGACCTTTATAACTGGATTAACAAGGAAAAGCTTAATCTGCCAGAACCCCCACCTCCAACTCATAGTCTTTTCCCAGTCTGCAGACTCCAAGGAGAGCCTTTGTAGCAGACCCAACCTGAAATCCACAGCCAACTGACTGACTTGAAGCCATGCTTAGTTTCATCCACTCTCCCTTCTTCCTCTTTTGTACATTTTCCTTGAAAAAAAAGTGACTTAGTACAATCAAAATCAAAACAACAAGTTATTGTCAGATGAAACTAAGTCTATTTTCATAGAACCATGGAGTAATTCAGGTTGGACAAGATCTTGGGGTGTCCCTCAGAAGGGTCTGCCCTTTCTGATCACTGGTCAACACTGAACTCAAACCAGGTTGGTCAGACTTTTCTTCAGGCGTGTGCTGAAAGCCACCAAAATCTGTCCAAGCAACCTATTCCCACAGTTGACTATCCCCAAGGGAAAAACAATTTTCCTTATGTCAAGTCAGATCCTCTTTATCCTTTGAAAAGTTGTAGAATTTACCTAGTTTCTACCAAATTCAACAGCAGCATTAATGAAGAACTAATTAACATATCACAAGTCTCATGGAGGTTATTTACAGGCTCTGCTACCACACTAAGTCACCATATGCCCCTGTGCAATTTAAGGCTTTTTATATTTATGCCAGTGACAGATAGAGTGCTTTGGCTAAAGCCAGAGGGCAAAGCAGGCAGGAGACCCCCAAGTATGAAAGTTCTCAGTTTGCAGCCCACTAATTGTTACCTAAAGGAGAGTAATTACCCCAGCCAAGACAAACATCCTGAAACATCTCAGCTGCAGTCATCTTCAGTAAACAGTTCAATGAGGAAAGGATTTGAGGGACCTTGGGTATTTGGGATAGTTTCTTGCACTGATTCTCGAGTACCTGTTAATGTGGTTGAATCCACACTGCCACATCACTGAGGACACTAGCAACTCAGTTTTTCCTCTTCAAAAAGAGGCTGATTTTTGCTAACATAGAAACCTTAAAAATACTAAATTTTTCTCTTCAATGTGGCTGAAGGTGGCCAACGCGTTCTGCTGCTATGGGGAAGAGGGTAGGAGGACAAACAAGCAAATTCACAAATGGCAAATAAACATGCCCTGTCTCTGCAAAAAGCATGCTAAAAAACCAGAAGTGGTGCCCAAACTGTGTATTAACAGCCACTGGGAATAAAAATACAATTTTGCTCACATCTGAGGTGATAAAAATGCAGATTAAGAGAGGAAGCTACTGCAGATTTCAAAATAGAGAGTCTTGGTCTTGTGCTGCACCCAATTTGCACATGTACCAAATCTCAATTTAAAAACTCCACAACTATTAACTGTTGTGCTATGGACAGTCCATAGACAGCTGAGCTATGGAGGGGGGGACTTATCTCAAGTCTTCCACAAGGTTCTTCCAGAGGCTCATTAGCAAACACTCCTCAATACCTGAATTTGTCGTGCTGTTGTTATCCGGTTTCTGTTCACTGTTGCCCTCACTCGTTCGCTCTGCCGGGTCCTGGCTATAGCTCGGGTTTGGACGTGAGGACGTAGCCTGCTGGTGGTAGGGACGACATCAGCCATCAGGGCAGCAACCTCTTCTTCACTGACATGATCTGTATCTTGAAAGAAAAGATGCCCAAGTCACTTGTCTTTCTACAGGTGAAGGCATTTCAAGAATTTTGGATAAAAAAAACCCACCCAAAACCCAAACCCCACAACAAAACAGTATTCCCTTTCTTAAACCAATCACCTTCAGAGGCAGACATCATCCTCTCAAAGGGAAATGAGCAGACACCACTGCTTCAGACTGTTACACAGAAAGGTGATTTTCCAGGTAATAGAAATTGCTGCTGAATTGGTAATCTGAGCTCAGGACACGAACAATATTTTCCAATGTAATACAATGCAGTCGCACTAAGGTGCTGGGTTTGCCTCAGGAAGGTTAAAGAATGTTTAAAAGGCAGCTCCAGAGGTTGCAACTGCAGATGAAAATCTTAATAAACAAAATCTTCTTATCAGTCAAGAGTTCAAGGCAACTCTTTAGGTTCAAGAGAGAATGTCTGTCAAAACAATTATGTAAAACAGATAAAACCAGGGTTTAAACATCTCTTCAAAACAGCACATGCTTCACACTATGTAGGCCAGGAGAAAAATATTTACTTTGACTGGATATCATGACACCCTTACCTGCAGCAGCACTGACACCCATGGGGGCACAGGCTGGACAGAACCACTCATCTACAGGGACTTCACTCAGAGGTGGATTAAGGCATTCCATGTGATACCTTGGGAAAAGAAAAAAAAAAGTTAAATGAAAATCAATGTGCTCTTTACCAAGGTAAAAGAGCCTTTTACCTCTGTCTACGCAAGGCAGACACATTTTCTTAAGCTTGAAACAATGGTCTATGTATCTGCTTCTACCATTCTCCAGAAAAACAATGCTACATGATTGCTACATAAAGGTCTTCAATTCTAGATGGTTTTTTGATCACTTTAAGCTCAAAAAGCTCAGAAAAGGGAATGTTTTTCACTCCTTTTGTGATGCATCACTTGCCATTTGAACCCAAGCTGCAAGAAACGCGCAGAGCCAAAACTGATGGTGGCAAAGAAAAAGAATAACTGAGGTGCTGAGGAGAGAAGCCATCAGCTTCCTGCAAACCAACATCAACATTACTGGTACTTCTGAACATTTTATTTTGCATGACTAGACACAGGTCAACTGCAATGCCTTGTTAAGTTGAATAAATGCATTGCATATATATATATATGCAATCACAAAAATACGCATCACACCCCACGTATACGTGGCATGATTAAGACAACTGGCGGTGAGGATTTCAGCGTAACTGCACAAACTGGGTCACAGAGCACTGATCAATCACAGAATCACAGAACCACAGCATGGT